TTTAATTTGTGTGGATAGGGTGGATAGTAAGCTTGTTTGCATTAAACTAGGAGAAGACATGAGAAAGCTCTTGATTAACAATGTTTTCTAGAGTAGCCAAGTCTTTATGACGAAAAAAATTATCGGTATCGTCAGCAAAGAGAATGAAAGAGAGGTAACTAGAGGAGTGGAAAATATCATTAATGTATAAGAGGAAAAGGAGAGGGCCAAGAACTGAACCCTGAGGGTCCCCACACTTGACTGTTTTATTGGAAGACACATGGCCATTGACCATAACATATTGCTGCCTATTAGTCAAATAACTATTGAGTCAGGCTAGAGGAGTACCACGGATACCATAAAAGTTTAATTTGTCGTTAAGTATCTGATGGTTGACTGTATCGAATGCCTTCTTACGTTCTAAGAAAATTCCAACGGTGCATTCATTATTTTCAAAGCCTTCATAAACATTGTTAACAAATTCATGAATAGCCATTGTAGTAGAGTGGTGAGGTCTGAAGCCATATTGAAAGCGGTTAAGGATGTTAAATTTGTCAAGGAAACCAAACAGTCTAATGTAAAAGAGTTTCTCAAAAACCTTGGAAAGACAGGGAAGAATGGAAATAGACCTATAGTTAGAAAGCAAAGAGGATTCATCACATTTGAAGAGAGGAAGTATTTTTGCTGTCTTGAGCGATGTGGGGAAGAGACCATGGGAGAATGACTGATTACAAATATGAGACAAAGGCACAGCTATTAAATCAATGGTCTCTTTTCTAGGAGAGATACAGAGACCATCAGAGCCCTCACATGGACTATTTTTTAAAGAACAAACTGTATTGGCAACCTCTATCGGAGAAGTTGGGGTAATGTAAAAATAATTTATATAATGGCCAATCATGAAATCTCTGTGGGAAGACTGAGAGAATGGTATCTTATTCGCCAGAGAAGGCCCAATATTAACAAAAAAATTATTAAACTGTGTAGCTATTTGGGTTGGATCTGAGTAAGTGCCAGTGCTGTCTTTCATATGACTAAAATGTAGCTCAGGCTTCTTTTTAGAGATTACTTGTTTAATAACTGTCCATGTCTTCCTCAAGTCTGAGCTAACAGAGAGAAGTTTGTCATGAAAATATTTTTTCCTAGCAAGTTTAATGAGAAAATTGTATTTGTTAAGATATTTGTTGTATCTTAACTTGTTAAGTGTAGTAGGATTTAACCAAAATTGTTTGTAAAGAGCATTCTTCCTTTTACAAGAATCAAAAAGACTTCGAGAAAACCAAGGTTTTAAAGGGGGTCGGGATTTAGGGCCTGCAGGCTTAAGAGGAATTAAATTACTTCCGATATGCAGAAGTAAGATGGTTTGAGAATGTGTCATACCGCTCATCGACCGAAATAGCAGTATAAACTGGCGACCAGTCAGTATCTTCCAATTTAGACCTAAATGATGAAATTGTTGTAGGGTTAATAATACGAATGTATCTCTTGTGACGTGGTGACTCAATAGATAAATCAAGTTAGTAATTTGAAAAGCTGGAAGATGATCGGATAAATCGGTGTAGAAAATACCACTGTGCATGCTAAGTTCAAGATTATTTGTATATATGTTAACAATCAAGGTTGCAGATGAGGAGGTTATACGGGTAGGTTTAGAGATTAAGGGAAAGAGGCAATTAAATATCATAAGATTGATGAACTCATTAGTGGGCTGATGAGAATCAGAATTAAAGAGGTTAATATTAAAATCACCCATAAGATATGATAATTTGTTCTCAAAGGTAATGGTTGATAATACAGCTTCAAATGACTCATTACAGTCACCAACAGAAGCATCAGGAGGTCTATAAAGGCAACCAATTATAACATTTTTACCATTACTTTGTATAATTTCCACAAAAATTGATTCATACAAAGAATCATCAGAAGATTGAAGATCAGTTCTAAGTTTATGCTTCAAACCAGTCTGGATATAAAGACCAACTCCTCCACTTGAATTATGTTCTCTGAGATTAGAAATAAAGAGGTAGCCGTGAATGTTGAAAAGATCAGTACTTGACCTATTTAACCAGGTTTCAGAAACAGCTACCACAGAGAACTGCATTTTTAATGAAAGAAGATATTCTGACAAGTCATCAAAGTGTTTCGGGAGGCTACGAATATTGACATGAAAAGCAGGAAATGTATCAGGAGGAAAAGGAATTTTGTTAAATTCTGTCGAGGTTACGTAGGTACAGTTGGAGAGCAGTTGTGAATTTGCAGTGAAAAAATTTGGGTCAGGATCCAGACTGGAGCTCATTAGCAAATGAGAAGACTCGGGATCGTCGAGAAAGGGATTGGAAATTTTTTGCCTAAGGAATTCGGTATCAATAATTCCTTCAAACTCAAAGTCAAACAAAGCAAAAAAGAAATCAGTATCGTTTTCTAAATTATTGAACGGAAATATTCTTGCAAGACAAGCCGAGCATAACCAGGTATCATTAGTATTACCCAGAGCAATGTATTCATCATGAGTGAAGGGAGTACACTTCAGGTAAGTCCTATTTAGGCTAATGTCACATAAGATGGCTTCGTGATTATTATGAACATTAAATTTGCATACTGAACACAGGAACTTAGTAGGCATAAACTTACAAATGTTACAGAAAAAAATCAATCAATCAATCAAATAATAAAATCAAATAAATAAGTAAAGAAGAAGCAACTATAAGTTAAAAATTATTTGGCAACTAATTAGACTAATAATGGCAACCAGCAGATTAAGCGATCATGCAGATAGCAGAGAGCAGAGCAGCATATGTCCAACAACCAGTTCAAAAATGCAAAACTGACTTATCTTTATTTGTTAACAATCTCGCGGCACTTGGAGAGAGTAGTACATTTCTCAATCACTGACGCACGAGACGTCGGTCTCATAAATATAATTCCATCGATGGTCCAAACTTTATCAATTATATGTTCTGAGATGTCATGATATAGAAACCGTAAAATTTTAGGACGGGATTGGATCAGATCCTCTCGAATATCAAACGCGGTTCCACGGGCTTTTAGATCCCGTCGCTTACGTAGAAGTTGAACTTTCAAGTTAGGGTGCAGAAGTCGGACAATGATAGGTCTGGGTGTACTGCCTGCCTTGCCTGTACGGTGGGAACGGCTGATATAATTTGAAGACACGGTGATACCAAGTTCCTTCGTGAAGAAGTCGATTGCCTTTGTGTCAGTGTATTCAGTGTCAGTACCTTTTGGCTCAGAGATTCCAAATATCCGATTATTAGTGCCCCGGGTATACTGTTCGAGGTCATCCAGTTGTTCCCGTAACAGCACATTCGTTTCATCAAAACCAGCGATGGATTCTTGAGTGGATTTGACAGCATCCTTTAGATTCTCAACATCGAATTGCAGGGAGTCAGGTAGCAATTGTTTGAAATGAGTGGAGGACACATATTCACCGACAGCAGTACGAGCGTAAGACATGATGAGGTCCTTTGTGAGTTGCGGAAGATTGTTGGAAATCCAGTCATTTAGTTTTATCTCAAAATGAGACCAAAGCTGGTTCATCGCTGATTCGGAAATCAAACCCTGAGAGGTAAATTGTTGGTCATGAGAGGCGCCTCTCGTCTTTCCCATAGTAAATTGAATAGGTTAATTAGTAATGGTTGAAGGAGATAGAAAAAAAAGTAGAATGAGTCGCTTTCCTCTACATAATCGCCAAAAAGACAGTGATTAGCAAGAGAGCGAAATGCACACGTCCATCTTGTTTCAGAACCGCTGGCCGTTTCCTATCTGGCGAATCATCTCTTGCCTGTTCTCGAAAACCTACCACGCTAACACTCGTTTCTGAAAAGCCTCGCTTTTCAATCCCTGTGCCCACTGCACCACATACTCTCCCATTGGTCACTCCTGATAACCCCGAAGAAGATATGGAAACCACCCATGACTTGAAAAGAAAATCTTCTGAACTCTCGACCTATACCTCAGAAAGGAAAAAGGGGAGAAACAGTTCAAGGAAATCCAAGTAAGCCTTTGTAATTTTTAAAGTCTCGCAAAGAAACCTCTACCCCAGGAAAGTGAGTCTTTCTTCCTAAACATCTTTCAAACTATTAACTATCAATGCGAGGGGCATGGGGAATCCCCTCACCCACAACTATTTATTTGATTCAATTGAAAAGATGTCTTGTGATTTTTGCTTTGTACAAGAGACGTTTATTAGTTCTGAGTCTCTGATCAAGGCCGTGTCTCATCGGTGGCCGGGACGTAGTTTCTGGTCCTCTGCCATCGGCCGACAAGGCGGAGTGGCAACTTTGATTTCCCCTAGAATTTCAGATGAAGTCATATGGTGGAAGAAAGACTCGCACGGTCGTATCGTCAGTATCCTGATCTGGACCAACGATGATCTGAACTTAGTAAATATTTATACTCCCACCAATCCATCTGAACGAAAAGTTTTTTTCTACTCTCTACATGATTTTTTTATTCCATCCTCGGCGACTATCACTGGCGGGGAATTAAACTGTTATGATAACGTTATAGACAATTTTGGGGGCAACGTTTCTATTCAGAAAGATTACGAGTCATTGAAAAGTGCCTTCACCCTTATCGATGTATGGCGTAAATTGCACCCTAATCAAAGGCAATTTACGTAGTTCAATTCCACCTCAACAGTTGCGAGTAGACTCGATAAATTTCTCGTCTCTAAGGATTTGCTCTCCCCTGGGACGAAGTGTGATATCTTTCCTTGTTCATTTTCTGATCATGATTTTGTCTCCTTTGTTTTTGACGCTCCTAGTAGCGTAAGACGCGGTCCTGGCGTATGGAATTTTAACAACTCCCTTTTGAAAGATAAAGATTTCTGCATCGCTATAGTAAAGCGCAAAGATCGCACATCTCTTCAGTGTACGATTCAGACGGCAATGAGGTCTTCTCTCAAGAAGAAATTGCGAAACGCATGTGAATTTTTACTCTCGACTCTTTTCTGAAGAGCCGGTTGATGTCGCGATGCAAACCGATCTTTTATCTTCGTTGTCTCGTCAACTCATGTCCCATCACGCATCCTCTTGCGAAGGTGACTTGACGCTCGAGGAAATTACTGTCACTCTGAATAAAATGAACACAAACAAAGCTCCTAGCCCTGACGCCCTTTTTACTCGAAGTTCTGAGACCGTTTGGGTCTATATCTGTGCCAAGTTTTTAATGCATGTTCCCAAGCTGGAGAGATGTGCGAGTATATGAAAACTAGTAATACTCAATACGCAACAGTATAAATTTGAGTCATTGAGCCTAGTGTTGTTAGCGGCACATCAGAATAAAAAAAATGGTACTCCTTAATTCTTCTGATTGCCCTCTCTACATGAATTCCTAAACTAGCGATTGCCTTGGTCTTTAAAACTGTGTTTGGTCCTCAAGAAAGGGAAGAATAGTCAATTCTACATTTTTTGCATTTAACAAAGCGTCAATGTCAAATCCTTTGTCGGCCATGACCGAATCCCCTTGCTCTAGTAGATCTAAAATCCCACTACATCTAGTGAATTTGAAAACGATGAGCTAAATCTTGCACAAACAACCCAAGTTTTAATCGAACAAGGAACATTTCATCAATTAAGAGCATGCTCCTAGCACCGGGCCTACCCTCTCTTTCACCTGATGCATAGCAATAGGTCATATTTTCTGCCGTTGGTCTAACAAAGTCAAAAAAAATCCTCAAGTGTTGATATGACGGAAAACTAGTGTAAAACCGAATAGAATCTTTGTCAGAAGAAAATATTTCGAATTTGAGTAGAGCAAGCTGTTCTGTAGCTTGCCTTTTCAAGTAAGCTAACTCCTTATCAGCTTGGGCTTTTATTGTCTTAGCTTTGTCTTTCATAACATGCACCTCTCTGATAGCAACAGCAGTTTCATTCTGGCTTTCAGCTAAATTGCTTTTTTGTTGCTAGCAATTCAGCTTACAGTGCTTGAATTTCCTTCTTTTGAGTATCCATAATTGGTGTCTTGTTGATTTCTGACTCTGACTCTGACTCATCTGCCTGCATATCCCTGTATACAAGATAAATTCAAATAAATCATGTATTCTAAACGACACTATAAAAACATCTTGTTTGTTAATACCTAGGATACTAACCCATCTGTGTGTCGTATAATCTTCCTCCTCACTTTCGGCTCAGAAGTCCAGTCAAACTTCAAAGGAACAGCTCCCCTCTTAAGCAATCTACGCCCAGCTTTATCCGGTGCAAGGTAATCCTCATCAATAAAATGCCGGGAACATACCCTTGAAGCGGTAGAAATCTAAAAAAACAAACCAAAATAAAATACCAGTTCTCTAAAATCTTTAACTTGACACCAACCCTACTCATACCTTGAATTTGGGCCTTCGTCTCTTCGTATTTTCAGAAGCCACTGTTTTCGTATATCGTCATTGCCTGGTCGACCGGGTATTCGATGAAAACTTAGATCGCTGTCATACCTCGAATCTCCGCTACAACGGGGAACTCAACAGTGGAAACTTGTGGACTTTCCACGAACTTTCGTAGCAGTAGTTTCATAGACATCATCCCCGGTGTTACCTTAGGAGAAAGTATAAAAGAGAGTCATTATGCAAGCTCTCGCTTAGCGCGCGTGCTTTTGCGGCGCGTGTATAGCACAACTTCAAACACAATAATTGTCCTTGTCTGAGCATTTAAGGTCTCCATTCCTTTGCAAATCTTTTTTTTATTGAATAGACTTTTGTTTCCTAATAGTTTTCGACCAAAATAGTTTAAATAAGTAACGTTCTAGGTGTATTTTTACTAGACATACCTTGCGAAGTCGCCATTTTGTTTCGTCACGACAAGTGTTTGCATCCGCAAACCTTCCTGAAGCGGGCGTTTGAAACAGCAGTCGGTTCTCAATATAATCCAAAACTAGGGTTCAGTACGATACTTGACAATAATGACAAAGTTAAAAAGAACTAAGTCTCTAAAACGCTTGAAACTTTTGTTTGAAACCACACGTGCTTGACCTCTATAGAACTTTCGTTTACTGGAACGTTTGCAGTACAGCAAGGCGTTGCTATGGGGTTTCCAAGCACGTGACCTCTAGCTGCAAAGGGCCTATTCCTATCAAACTGACATTTTACAGAAGACAAAGAGTCTGTGAAAGAGTACACGTTGATTAGATTTCTCGAAACCCATTATCTTTGAAACACAAAGCGAGCAAAAGTGCTCAATTTTCGACCTGTTATAACCCGATCCATCGATTCTGAGAGGTAAAAGCGACATGTTCATTTTTCTCAAAAGGAAAGATCATAGTTGGGGGAAAAAATACACAAAGTTCAGTTCTTGTCTTTCTAAGAGCTACTTGAGTGCAAAAATAAAGACAATTTGAATTTTTGAGCCTTGCCAGAAAATTTTCATTTTTGTTTGATTTTTTCATGGATGTCCGCTTAAGCCCTCTTCTTGTATCTTCATCTAGCAAATTTCCTGCGTGATGTAATCTGTCTTTGGTTGCCGATATCTTATCGCGTTTCTCTCTGAGTGCGACACGCCCACAGGACTCTCATAATCATTTCTCATCATGGCCACACATTTAAGTTATCAAGCGTAACTGAAACATTGCCCTAAAGTGCTACCGAGACTAAATTTAGCGTATGCCAGATTTTTCACTTTTTAGAATCCTCACTGGCTACTTACCACTCTCACGAAATTTGGAATTAAAATTTGAAGTGAAAGTTTGTTTTTTATAGACTTGTTTTTTCTAGACTTGTTTTCCTCGATTTTACGTCCTCCCTTGTCCAAACTGCGAAATGGCCGCGCGTAAGTCTGTGACGTCATATTATCCCCTAAACTTTCGCGCACGCTCGTAACCTAGAAATGAACGGAGATTGTTGTACGTGAATAGTTCTAGGAGAGTCAGTAATCGTCGTTTTGAGGCCGGAATTGCCACCCAAGGGTTGTGTTGTGCAGGATTGAACAATTATTCTTTAATACAAATGCTGAAATATCGCTACTAGGGATCAAAAGAGCAAGCCATACAAAAGCATAAATGATATCAAAGAGTGTTCCAATAATCCCTGTGTAAACAGTGGTACTTGTACTGACTGAGTGAAAAGTTGTGTTTGTGCTTGTCAGCCTATATTCAAAGGCAAAAGAAAACTGTGTTTTGTTTATAATGGTGACCTTGACACTATTCCTTCTGAAGTTTTTCTTACTACATCCATCCATCACTGATAACCCCAGAATGCAGTGGATAAACAAGTGTTCAAATAAATAAACAAATGAATCACTCAATAGTAATATTAGAATTGTCCTGCTTCACCAAATGTTTAGAAACACGATTACCTTCTAATCATTTTGATTTAATCTTGGTTAAGATTTATTTCCTCTGATCTAACTCTTGGGAAGCACATTCAAGTACAATTAATTTGTAGAAGGCAGACCACCTGGCCAATCTGGGGGTAGAGAAGGTGGTGAACTACAGATTTGCAGCAGGCCATGCAACCATGCAAAATATAGGACCACACTGCTTGATTACTTATTACTGTGAAACTAAGAAAGCCACAAACTCTTTGATTTGATTCTCACAGGACAGTTGTGTATAGTTCAACACACAATTCAAGAGTGAGCAAACTCCCTACTACTGCTGTCAGTTGTCTTGAATTGCAAGGACATTACATAAGTACATGTATTTCTAGAGTTCACAGTTTCTGGGTGTCACAGTAACAGTGTGGACAAAATACTTTTGTTCCCTGAGAATAACAAAAAGTAGTCCTTTGTAAAAGTTTATCAGCATTCTGATTTTTTTCCGAAGATGAAAACTGCTGCACAAACACGAGTCCACAGTCATCTGTAATAAGTAAAACACAATTCATAGAACTAAACAGGCTATTGATCTTCCTCGAAACCATGGTATACCACTGCTTCGCAAGGAAAAGCGCTGCATAACGGCCTAAAGGCATTGCATGACAAAGGGAAAAGATTTGAACTTCCAGGGAAATAAGAACAAGGGTAAACTGGCTGTTACAAAAGCTTACCTAAGATCAAATGTGCTAAAAATTTGTATCACGAACTTCTGCGTCGCAAGTAAGCCGCTTTTGAAGCTCTAGCTCCCTCGTTTCTTCACTAGCCAGGTTTAAATGTTTTCCTCAAAAGCGACGGCCTCTTCCTCGGTTGCACATGGCTCTACTTCCTCGTCGCACGTAGGGCGATAAATCCAATATTTCTCCTCAACACTACAACAGTCATTCATGGCCCCTCATCGGAAAAAACAGGACCATTATCGTCGTTTAAAATAAAAGAACAGTACGGTGGCCCACGGGTGCCACGGCACAAACAAAAACTCCACAGCACAAACAAAAACTCCACGGCACAAATATAAACTCCACGGCACAAACAAAAACTCCCCGGCATAAACAAAAACTCCACGACACAAACAAAAACTCCACGGTACAAAAAAAAACTCCACGGCACAAACAAAAACTTTTACGGCGGAAACAAAAGCTGCAACGGCGGAAGTCATGCTCCTAGTCGAGTTTCCGGAAGTGGATCATAGGGCAGAAATGATTCAACGTTCATCGAGGATTACGTATAGTCAGATGCTTCACCAGAAGCCCGCCATTTTCTTTTTTCTCCTTGGGAGATGTTTGGTCATCATTGTGGATTTTCAGCCTGCGGGACGCAAAATAGGGTGCAAAATGTGGAGAAGGTAAACTTTTTCGTGTTACGCCGGGCTCCTATTACTGTTACTCTACAATTTATGAAACAGTTTACAAGACGGCAGCAAGTTGTTTTGTATATCACAAGCGCTTTTAAAATGGGCGCTAGTGTCGAAGGAAGTTAAAGAAAGTTGTTCTTAGCAAAGTGCGTGCGTGGTGTTCTGTTCAGACTACTAAATTGTTTTGTTCCGACTACTAAAATATTTTGTTCAGACTACTAAAATAACTTCAAGCGAAAAGCAGATGTTTTTATATACCATAATAGTACCACAACAAAAAATGTCCTCAGTAGGGTGGTCCCGTTAAAAGTCCATTCTCACTGGGGGGCGTGAGATCCTCCCACTGCAGGTCCAGGCCCGAACATCCTCCCCACCTCTCCAATACTTTGAAGACTTGACACTGATTTCTGTGTAAATTGTTTCTTCTTCGCCCTTTTCTTGACCTTTCGAGTAAGGACTCTCCACCGTAAGCTCCGTTTTCACCTAATTCACCCTTCCAAATTGAGTACGGCTTGCTTCCAGACGAGGTAGCCTCTGTTCAGGTCTCCTTAGAAGCCCTTTCTTTGTCTTCAAAACAACAGTACGAATCAAGCAGTCTTTCAGCTCTTCCCATCGACCACTTTCCTCTCGCTCCGTCCTCTCTACGAGGGTGCCTATAGAATCTGCGGTAAGGACGATGACGGCGAGGATTCTGTGCCGGACGCTCTTCTCCCTCTTCTCCTCCTTCATGATCACCATCTCGTTCTTCTTGCTTATCGCCCTCAGGGCGTTCCTCATCAGACCTGCGCCTATATCTGGGACGTCGTCTTCGGCGGGGTCGCCTCTTCTGTTTATCATCCTCCTTTGGTTTAACCTCTCCGTTGGTAGCGGAGTCGGGCCCACCACGGGGACGGCGTCTCCCACGACGGGTAACTCGATAGTTGCGGTAGTAGTTTCTTCGGCGGTCCGGAGCATATTTGCTTCCTTGTACAGGGCTTCCATCTAGTCCTCTCACGTTGGCTGATTCTAGACCCTTCGCTCCTGATATAACATCAAACTCCACTGTCTCCCATCTTCAACACTGCGCAAGTACTAACTAGGGGGCATCTTCAAATAAGTTTCCTTCTATTGTTTGTAAACTGCTGATGCAGTCCGGCCAAAGTCCCCCGAAAAGTGTTATGATGCGCATTTGATCAAATCCACATGTTAATTTGCGCAATATAAATATATAATTATTATTAATCATTTATATATTATCTCACTGAAACCTAACGAGCTAGCGATATTTACCCAGGAGTAACCCAGTTCGCTTAAGAATTCGATCTGTTCTCTTTCGATGACGATTACTGGTCTTCCTGCACTTGTTAGTTTAGTGGTAGGACAAGCCAATGAATTTGATATCTTTGCTTCAACGGAATTTCTTTCCTCGTACTTTGCCATAGCACGAAAAACAAGGCGTACTTTTGTCAAAACAGCTTCTATTATTGTCTTGAAATCTTAAAGGACAGAGTCCCCACTTTGCCATACACTATGCAACAGCAACTGTAAAGTTAAAATTGCATCTTCCAGACGCACGTTAGCTTGTTCAAAGTAATCAACGGAGACATCTTGTGTGTTCAAATTCTGAATACCAATCAACAGGGTACGAAGAGACTCTACGAAGTTGTAAAGGCCTCTCTCGTTGCCATCTCTTAAAGTTTCATCCGCCATTTTGCTTTTGAANATCTTCAACACTGCGCAAGTACTAACTAGGGGGCATCTTCAAATAAGTTTCCTTCAATTGTTTGTAAACTGCTGATGCAGTCCGGCCAAAGTCCCCCGAAAAGTGTTATGATGCGTATTTGATCATATCCACATGTTAATTTGCGCAATATAAATATTAAATTATTATTATTGATTATTATTATTAAAAATAGTAAAGGAAACAAAGTAAAAGCAGTAAACCCAGAGGTTGTTATTTTTATTGGCGTGTTGCAATGGTGTGACGAAGTATCAAGCTTAAAGCCGATACGAGGAAAACGTTTAGCCCTGAAAGTTCCAAGGAATGGTCCTTACAAACTGTTATGTGAGAAGGCAATTGAAAAGTGAAAAGCTTACTACAGTAACCTTTATGAAGAAGATGAGGAATATGTTCTTTTGCTCGACAACTGCAAGGAGTCCATCTTTCTGCCTGGGCCAGCGAAAGAATTTTTTTCCCTGGAACGATACCAGGAAGAATTTGGTAAATATTTTGAGAATAACTATGTACCTTTATACAGCCCAGGACTTTTATCGATCAGAAAGTGTTAATCTTGTCTGGGGTGATACTTCGGACAATGATGATAACAATTCAGCTATTACAGCAGAGAATATTGCACCCGCAAAACGCTTTAAAGAGGACCCAGATTCCATCTCCAATGAACAATGCAAGAAGTTAAGTGTGAGTGAAGAAAGAGTAGTGCAAATACAACATGATGAAGAGGTTGCCATGGAACTTCAAAAACAATTTGTAGACGAAGTTGTTTGCCCTGGGTGATCAGATTACAACACAAATTGGAGAGACTGGTCATGTTAACTTGGAGCTAGAAGCTGGTGAGAAGTCTCATGATGTTGATAAAGATGATGAAGGCGAGTCTGGTGAAAAACAAAACTTTACTACTCTCCCTGAAGTGGTCCAGGCTTTGGAGAAGAGAGTCGACAGAGGAAAAGAGTTCTTCACCACTGTGAGGTGGAAAACGCCATTACAGCGAATTCTACGTTTGTGGCAATACGAGTTGAAAAAGCAAGGGGCTCATCATCAAATTAAAATACGGTTCCTAGGAGGGGAGGGAATGGATTCAGGAGCATAAAGAAGGGACTTTTTTGCAGAGGTCGTTCCCGCTATAGGAAATACATTATTTCCTAGTCGTACCCCCATTGATTCCACTTTTTATGTTCAAAATGGCGACTTTCGAGCCAGTGGGGAGATTGTTGCCAGCAGTGTTGATCAAGGAGGACCACTCCCTTCCTTCCCGGACCAAAAAGCATATGAGATACCGGTGAAGAATGAAGTTGATATCCTGAATTTGACAGCAGAAAAATATTTGACTCAGTGAGAGACAGCCAATTGACAGCATTAGAAATAACATTGACAGGCACAGGGACACAATTCTTGAACATGGTTACACTGGTCTTATTGATATGGCACATAATGAGGACGTTGTTAGATCTCTCACTGTGCGTTTGTCAACAAACGTGTCTTGTATCTACGTGAATTTAAAGAGGGTCTGGCATTGTATGGTCTGTCAAGCATTGTTACTAATCATCCAAAGGTCTGTGAGCCTTTATTTGTGCAAGGCGTGCTCCAAGATGTGGATGCGACACATTTGTTCAGTTTGATGAGCCCTGAATATTCTCAAGCAGGCTCATCTCGACGAGAGGTTGAAGAAACACTGATGGATAATTTCCAAAATTTTCTTCTGGCCTTGGAAGAAGGAAATATCTCTGGATAGAGTCGGCTGTGGCGTGGAATTAGGGTAACAAAGATATAGAATTCTAGAGGCCGTCGTAGAGACAGTGTATGGAATGTTTGAGATAGCAGATTTAACGTCTGCCAGTATTCTGGGAAGGTCCACCGGGCAAAAACATAGGCAGTTGAACGGTGAGAAAATTCAAATCACAGTAAAGTTTGATCACGATTGTTATTCCAACACACTCCATTTGCTTTCCTTTAGTAAGTGCCTGCGCTATGAAAGTGACATTTCCAGTGAGCCACATGAAAACTTATGATGATTTTAAAAATGTGTTTATATTAGCATTTTGCTAAGGACAGGTCTTTGGAAAGCCTTGAGGTGGAGACTACAAATAACCCAAACTGTTGATCTCAGTGCAGCTTCAAAATCACCATGAATTTTTTCTTGTTTTCTCGTACAACATTCATTGGCTTGTTCATATTGGGAAAAATTTTTTGCAGAAGCGATAACTTTTGTTTATCAGTTTACGTTTTAGTGGAGAAATATGTGGCAAGAAAACGATGAGCTCTTGCTTTTACAGTAATCGTTACAATTTTTCTACTCTAAGAATTATATATGTAAAGAACGTAGTTTTTTTTTCAATTTAAAATAGCTTGAGAATGTTTGTAAAGAGGAGCCTCTAGTGATGAGGCCATTGAGCTCATATACTTGTTACATGCTTAGTCTCTAGTTGCGTTCTTTTGTAGGGAGCACCCACCCTTACGTAAGAGCATTTAGTCTATAATTCTTGTTTGATTTGGAAAATGAACGAGTTAAGAAGCGATTAAAGTTCACAATTAAAGCTTCACAAATAAAGAGTTCTGTTATAGTGTTCATTTATGTATCAGTCTCATTCTCAGTGGTGTAGCAACCGCTAAAATGAGGAATTCCTGAGGTTACCTCCAAAATAGCTACCTCGGTGCTAGTCACATGCTTCCATGATAAGCAAACTGCAGGAGAATTTTGTAAAGCTCTAGCGCTTCTTTCCTATCAGTTGGTTGCCTAAGATCACAAGCACTTGTACATAATTGAAATATTCCTAGCAATCATTGTCTGAATCGCTTTCAATGACTTGTGCGCGAGTGTAGTTCATTTCTTCTCCAGTGATGGCTAGCAAAAATGAGTCACTGACCCCATGTAGTTCAGGGACATAGTAAAGCGAATCGGGCCTGCCACTCACAATGTCACGTCGAGACTTTCGAATACGATGAGTGTTCCAGTGCTCTTTGACTTCGTCTAAAATATTCTGTAGAAGCTGGGAAAAGCAAAACCAAAGGCACTCCATTTCAAGCTCCGAGGTGAGATCAACTAGACTTCCATTTAGATAAGTCCAACCAGCTATCTCCCTTCCAGTGCGGTTTTCGGAAAAATCACTCTACCCAGGACGCGGTAACATATTTCACGGATTGTATTAGGAAAGGTATAGCCGATGGTCGCGTTACGGCAGCGGTGTTTGTCGACTTTCGAAAAGCCTTCGACAGTGTGAATCAGCAACTTCTCATAAGGAAATTGCCTGGGTTTGGCATCCGAAACCAAGAACTGAAGTGGTTTGAGAACTATCTTACAAATCTATGTCAATCTGTTGTCTATGGCAGCGCACAGTCTGCTTCTCAGCAGATAAAGTCTGGCGTCCCACAAGGGTCCATACTTGGTCCCATCTGGTTTCCGATGTATATTAATGACTTGCCCAACTGTCTACTTCAGTCACAGATGAGTTTTGATAAATCGTCCTCCTCTGGCGGTGAGCTTTTCTTCATTCCGAGCCTTCTAGGTCCATCTCTCGAAGACGTTCCCGTACAATGACGCGTGGTACTCTGGTGCCTTTTGGCTGTAGTGTGTGCCACACCTACCTGTACCCTTGTAAATTTATAAATATCTGCTTTACAAAGTTTAGCAGATATTTGTTTTCTGCACGTTCTGTATGGAATGTGGTCCCTGCTAAGTACGCGTTCCGGTGTGTCTCTTGTGTACAGTTATTTGCATAATGGTATATAAGTCTGAGTTTAATTGGTATTCATCTTTCGGGTTGCGAACGCCATCGCATACAGAACTTTTTTCAGTTCATCGACCAGAGTAGCGGACCTTCACTTTCCTTGGACGCGGCAGACGTCGGGGTGGCCGTAATGGACAAAGCGATCAGCGAAGCGATTCAATCTACTGTTAACGCGTTGGTCGGTCGTCTAACAAATAGTCTTACTGAAGTGATTGAGGCAAGGCTCGGTAGTTTTGCTCAACGCTTTTCCGAAGAAAATGGCGCCACCGTCGAGCAAGCCTTCAAAAAGGCTCGCCGTGAAAACCATACATGTAAAAGAAAGGAAAATCAACAGCAGCTTGATCACGAGCTCGAGGTGCTGGACAAATTTGATGCGGCAACGAGTGCTCTAAAGAACAAGTCATACGACACAGTGAAAGCTGCCTTGGAGGAAGGTACGGGTATCGTATCCAAGCGCATAAAAGTGCATAAGCTATGTATAATTATCAGCTAAGTTAGCTGATAAAAGAGAGTTTGGTAGGCAAACCGTGAACGAGTACCTGTCAGACGAGTTGGCGTCAGACTCAGACGACAAGAAAAGATGTATCGCGCGGAGAGGAGAGCGGAGAGGAAAATCTTTTTTGCTTGGTTCAGTTCAC